ACTAAGTAGTTTAGTATACAGTAAAACACACTTATTGTGAACACACTTATAATGAACTGATGCTTACAGTGAATTTGCATTCCCCAAGACTCTACAAATAATATATTATAATTCTATCGGACATGATGAATTACACTTATAATGAAAGAAAAGCATCCATTCCTGGTTTAAATTTGAGATAAATTATTACTCACTAAGACATTATAGTTATCAAGTTATCAATATTCATGATAGTGAAGTTAAACTGTAGAATTTTGATTCACTATATTTGACCTCAATTCAGAGAGTAAAGTTTCTGGAGCAGGTCTATTTCTTAAGTTACTATATTTGTATGATGCTCTACCTTAATTTTTATGTATAGTGCATCCCAAGATGCTGACTATATACTAACCATCTTCTGGATGCTGATTCAGGTTATGTAATCTGGATGAGTGGCAAAAATCTGAATTATTAAAGTTCTATAGCAGAGTTCTTTTGACCTTCATGTTGAACTTGCATGGATGTTGAAATTATAAGCCTTGCTGAACATATTTTACGGGTGTATAACTAAAAGCCTATAATGTTTGAAATTCAAATAAATAATGTTTATTGTTTTATATTACTACAGTCAAACCTTATTATCTGAAACTCACTACTGGGGGGAAACTTCAAGGTAAATGGATTTTTGAAAAATTGATGTTAAATACATAAGGTTGTTGGTAATTCTAATCCATGGAATTTTGAGGTACATGAATTGACATTCAGGATATCAACTGTAGTAAGATAAGAAAGCTTCACTGAACACTTCCTTGTGTTGAGAATGTCTTTGATTTTTTTACTGTATATCTTTATGAACAGTTCATTGGACTATGGAAATGAAGCACATAAAGTGGTCTTGTAAGGGGCTTTATTACAAAGCTCTGGTAGTTTAGCCTAGTTACAATGGTCATAAGTTAGTAAGGAGCTTAAGTGGGACTGAGGATTACTAAGCAATGATGTAGTTGAGTGTCAGTTCTGGTAGAGTTTATGGGTCTGAAATAATTGCCTCATTTCTCCCTGGAATCAGATTTGTTGTCATTTTGACTATAAATATTGTTAGCAAGTATTGGCCAGGAAGAAGAAAAAAAAATTGTGTTCATATGCAGTGTATCTATGAAAAAACCCTGAGTGTTAGAATATGGTTCCCATCAGAATGCTTTAGGAACCTTAGAATGATGTCTGACACTGCCATAATTACATATAGTCTTCTTGATGTGCATGGTGGTTTTTATCATTGGCATACAAGTAGACTACACTAAGATACATACTATATATCGGTTTTTGATTTCCCCCTAGTGTGAAATTCTTTCAAAACGCTACTCCTCCTACAGAAGTTCAAACAATGCAAAATATTTGTGATGAACGGTGTTGCCGTGGTTACTAAAAATAGAAATTTCTGTGAAATCAAAATGCTACTCCTCCTACAGTTTTGGTTTGATTTCATTATAACTTGGCACACAAGTAGACTACACTAAGATACATAATTCTGTGTATCGGTTTTTGATTTCCGGTGTTGCCCTAAAAATAGAAATTTCTGTGAAATTCTTTCAAAATGCTATTCCTCCTACAGTTTTGGTCTGATTTCAGTATTACTTGGCAAAAAAGTAGAATACACTAAGATACATAATTCTGTGTATCGGTTTTTGATTTTGATGAACGGTGTTGCCGTGGTTACTAAAAATAGAAATTTCTGTGAAATTCTTTCAAAATGCTACTCCTCCTACAGTTTTGGTTTGATTTCATTATAACTTGGCACACAAGTAGACTACACTGATACATAATTCTATTTATCGGTTTTTGATTTCGATGAACGGTGTTGCCGTGGTTACTAAAAATAGAAATATCTGTAAAATTGTTTCAAAATGCTACTCCTCCTACAGTTTTGATCTGATTTCAATATAACTTGGCACATAAGTAGAATACACTAAGATACATAATTCTGTGCATCGGTTTTTAATTTTGATGAACGGTGTTGCCGTGGTTACTAAAAATAGAAATTTCTGTAAAATTGTTTCAAAATGCTACTCCTCCTACAGTTTTGGTCTGATTTCAGTATAACTTGGCACACAAGTAGACTACACTAAGAACATAAAGAGACTTTATCAACGATCATTATTCTATTTAGTTTCAAATCCCAGCTGCTTAAGTACTTTTCTCTTCCTTTGCTATAAGTTCAAACCAGTAGAGCTTCAGTCTCGACAGAGACTTCTGGTATCATTTACATCGACATACATGCCCCCTGTTGAGAAGTTCACAATGCAAAATATTTGTAAAGGAGATAGCCATGGATCTGTGGAATTTTCCCCCAAAGGTTTTTATTCCATCTCCATTTCAATTCCAGGAAGACCTGTTGGTTTGATACAGTGTTACAAACCATCAGTTCAGTACTCTAATGACTGTCAATACGACACCACTAGATGCCCCGGCGTTGCAGAAATTTTCTGAGTTCTGTGAGTGCACGAGACTGTTATCTGGTAGAATTCTGAGATGCTACACTTATATCACTTTGTTTGAGGATGTTTGAAAACTTCCTCCCACGCAGGTTTATACATTCTCGGTGTCGGTGGCTACTGGGCCCACTGCCAAACCAACCCAGAACTCCAAATTCTGTACGCCAGGAGGTGCCGTGTCAGACATTTATTGATGTTACACAACATTTTATCTGCTCAGTACATGTATTTTTTTTTTCGTATTGCAAATAACATACCCCAATATTACATATACTGTATATTAGGACAAGCAACCTAGGTACCACAATTTAACACAGAGGGAATACACTGTAGCCTAAATTAACATAAGATTTGTGATTTGATATCAGAAGAAAACATTTGAAGTAATTCTGGTCTAACAGTTTTATGTTTTTTGTAAATTGTCAGAGGAGGTTATTGGCCGCGGTCTCTTTATGGTTGGTAGATAATAAATTCTGTTTCCAAGGTTTTATGACCCGGTTAGAGATAGAATAAAATTACAAGATAAAAATACATGTTAGACTTTTTTATGTCAGGTAAAAAGTGTCTGCAGAGTAATTCACACCTTGACATATATACCCTACATTTATGCTATGGGTCATGATGTCTGTATGATTTATATAAGTATAGTATTAAACTCTTGTCATTTTTGAAAGTTTTTCCCATATTTGTTGTAAAACATAGTCTTTAAATTAACCAGTGTAATTTATTTAAAATAAAAAAAAAACAACAGAGATACTTTTATATGTTATAGCCATATTTGTCCATGTAAGTACCCAGAAAATTGGAAGAGTTGATGAAATCTATAAGAATTAACACATCACTCCCTCTGTAGGTTCTGCAGGTTTACCTGTATCTATTGTCTTTGATTGGGTTTTGAAATTCTTATGCTCTATCATTTGGATAGTTTGTGCATTTGTCATAACCGTATGCCAAAGTTCTTTGCAAAGGTTAAGGTCAGGTGATTCAAAAGAATGAAATTTCTGGTCCTGGCCATGGAAATGTGGATGTACATATGAAATGTATAGTAACATAAAAGATACACTCAGGACCTGTGGGTGTGACGTGATCAAAGTTGAGGTAAACAAGAATACAGCTGGTGTAAAAGGGGGGAGTTTTTGTTGAGGTCCTAACTTTGTTATACTGGGATTGTAGAAGCTCAGTCATTCTTGGCACTTGAAGAATGATGAGATCACTTGAAATGAAAGGGAAAGTGTTCCTAAAATTAGTTTCTAAATTCATGAATTTACTTCAATTTAAGCTCGTAATTTACCCATGTTATTGGTAAGAGACCATAGTCTGTTTGTCCATTTAATAAAAATTTTCATAAATAAAGTTTTTTCTACTGCTATTGTATGATTTGATATAAAACGTAGAACACAAGTAGTTTAAATCAAGACAATTAATTTTATTTGTTTTTTTTTCATATTCAATATCATTGGGTACCAAAAGTAGAATGATATGTTATGTATTTTCCAAGGAACACCTCCTTCATGTGCATGTTTAGTTTTGATTTCAATAAAACTTGGTACACATGTAAACTTTACCAAGATCCATAAATCCATCAGTAGTCTAAATGGGAGATGATGCCTCATGTATTAAAATGAAATTAATTCATAAACTTTTAAACTATAATTAATGCTTTAAGGCCATAATAAAAATATTCATAGATTCTCATCCCCGCCCGCCCCGATTTTATACCCCCGTCTCTATGACATGATTTTGACAAAAAGATGGTAATTGCTGTAATACATGCGTATATAGTTTAAACAAGGTTCATTGGTTGAAAAAGATTGGTGATGATTTGAAGTAAGAGATAATTGAACCTTTACTATGACTTTTATTCGGGTATTGTAGATAAAATTACACCGATTGACCAGGTCAATAAAAAATCTGCAAAATTGAAAAAATAAAAAATGCAAAATAAAAGCCGCCCGCCCGCCTCGATTTTTAAAAAAATTCGGATGAGAATCTAGCAATTTATTTATTATGGCCTAATATATATATTATTTTTTGGTTTGATTTTAATGAAAACTTAGTACATGTACAAATTATCAAAAACATTAAAACTTGAGTTTAAATACATTTGCAACTTTCTCTTCCATGATCATTATTTTGAACAAATCAGGGAAGTTACAATTAGTTATAGAAAACATTCGATCTATAAATGTTTGTACTAGTATGTGTTCTTTTTCCTAAATATTTTTTAGTGTAATCAGCAGCTTCCAATATCAATTATGTCCATTGTCTACCAGCATATTATACAAAAGGCATTCTTATGTTATGGAAATTACCCTGAACTTCAAAACTTGTTCAGTTTTGTGTTCTTGTGTGATTTTCTTTGTAGTAGCAGAATTCTCCTTTCTTTTAGCCTGTTCTTTCATTGCAAGAGAGAAAGCAGGAAAATGGAAAAGATGGAAAGGGATGGTATTTGTTTTTATTATGTAAAAAATAGAGACAATGATATTAATAATAATTATTCTGTACCTTTGTTTGCCTTAACTGCTATTTCACAGCGTTTGAGTATCTTATTCTCCTGACCATTTTTGCTAACTGTGTAGCACTAGCAGTGTTCCATCCTTACCCAAACCAGGATTCCAATGAGGTTAACGCAGCACTGGTAAGTCAAGGCAGTGTAAAACGTTAAAAATGTCAGCACCAAGCTTTGGCTAAAAACAAAGGCCCTGATCTTGACTGAATAGTGTGGGCTAAAAGCTGTGATAAAACAAAGGAACCAAGTATTCAAAAGTAAATTCGGCAAAGATTCACCATCCCTAGATTTAGGTCATGTGCAATGTACAAGTAAAAGTTGTTTTTTTTTTTAACAATGTTTAACTAAGCTTTCCCACTGATCATTTTCAAGATATTCCTACTTACAATTTACATTCATTGTTCCATCATATGTCCTTGGACAATAAATCAGCATAGTACATTTCCAGTAGTTTTGAAAAGAAATCAAATAATGAAAATCCTTGTGTTTTTCAAAGAAATATGAACAAAATTTTTTATTTATCAGGTGTTTCCTAAAATTTTGATTCAGATGAGATTCACAGCATTCCCAGGCATAATAAAATCTCTTTAAGGTCCTTCAATTTTTGAAGCATGGAAAAAGAAAATTAAGTTTAAATTTAAACTAGGTTGTGTGTGTTCTTTAGAAAGTTCATCGTCTATCAGAAGTGGCAATTAATAAACAAAAAATTGTCAATTAAGCACTGAGCACCAAACCACAAACTTTAAAAATTAAAAGATGACCGAGCCCTAGACCAAGATAAGTACCAAATCTAGTTTACATATGAGTACCCAGTTCTAGTTAAAAGATTAGCTCTGGTGAACAACAAGTACAAAATATGGTAAATGGTATGACCAATTTAAATATGGTTAAAAACATGAAAGTACCAAGCTCTGGTAAATATGTATATTAACAACCAACTCGAGTAAAGAAATGAGAAAAAGAAGCACCAAACTATAGTAAAAAAGAAAACAATCAAACTGTGATAAATAGGTACACAACTAATAAAACAAAAGCCTCAGACTTTGGTTAATAGGTGAACTACAAACTGGACAGCTCGGAAGAATCTAATTTTGTCAGTGACCAGCATGAGATATACGGTATATTCTAAAAATACTCTCAACCCAGTACATACATGTACAAAGCCTAAAATCAAGTTACTTTGTATTAATGGATACCAGATCTAAAATAGTTGTCTGCAATAGATATGTCACAGATACACTGAGGGCTAGTTCATTATTCTCAGCCGATGTACAATTTCTCTGGATGTGTTACTTGGACCCTTTTCAAGTATTTCCTCTAATTAATCTAAGGAATAGCAGCAATCAGTGCATAGTCAGCACAATCTACCGCAACCCATGTGAGTTCCCCCCTCTGATTTCTACTGATGGCTGGTGTAAAACAGACTTCTTAGAAAATGAAATTGCATAACCTGGTATGATGATGCACAATTAAGTAAAAAAGAGTAGATTGATATTATGGTTCTAGCTTTTAGTTTGACCTTCCAGAGCATGAGAATCTGGCCCCAATGGAAAACATTTATTTGGCTTTATGTCCTCAATTGATATTTTGGAAGTTGTCCACCCAATACTAAGACATTTTCTTCATGGTATGACTGTTGACTGTTAGTACATTAAATACCTGTATTTTTTATAATTATGGCAATAAATTCAATCTGCAATTCTGGACTGACACCTGATAATTTTCAGACATACACCCAATGTAGTTGAGAGCCCTTATGGTGACGCGTAGACTGTGAAATTGCCTTGTTGTTGGCGCTATTGATTGGTGCCTCCATTTAGGATTACTGTGCATTATGTTTTGAATCAGGAACCTTTGTGTCAGATCACCTCCAGAATAGATATATTGATGGCATCGGAGACTATTGATCGCCGGCCTAATGCAGGGACGAGCTAGGAAGTCGACACACAACCGATCTAAATTGTCTTCAAAATCGGCCACCATTCACTCTCCCTCATTTGGCAGTTCTCTTGATTATATCTTGATAGGACTCTATAATGAGGAGGCATTATTATTTTTTGGGCATTAAGTCTGTCAAGCATTATTCTCAGGTGAAGGCAGGTGACAGTGAACTAGACTACCGGGTACTAAATGGATTGTGTAACATTGACAAATGTATCCCACCAGCATTTAATGCCTGATTTTTTTAAGAACATTACTGAATTTTAGCTTATTAGAGAAAGATGGAATAGTTTTTTTTTTTAAATCACATAATCTTTTTATAACCACCAATGATTTGGGATTGATAGAAGTAGTTAAAATTATTACCTAAGTCCTTAAAAATACATCTGGCAATTCATGGAAACAACATTTTTACCCTTAATTCCTTTGCAAAAAAGTATAATAGATGAATATCCATAAATCATTTACATGATCATGCAGCACAGAATTTAAAAAAAGAATGTCATTATATGTAAATTTTATTATATTTTAAGGTGCCTTCATTCGTTCCACTGGTTAACCCATTTTGCTGGAAACTTGGTTTATAAAGTAGCTTGATATTGGCTACTGCAGCACATTCAACATAAAAGTCATATTGCATACAAAATGAAACCATCGAATTTGTTTTCCCTTATTAAAACTTGTTTCATTAACAAATCAGTCTTTTCCATGTTAATTGCAGAACCTTTGTGCAACTTTTAGAATTTCTTTTCTAAATTAAATTATAAGGAAGTTTTAGCACAATAATTTTTCTTCTTCAAGCACAAAAAGTGTTATCAATTGGTTTATCTGTTCAAAACCCTTTTTGATATATGCTGATTTTTTTGTCTAAGAGGTATCTGATGATAGTATGATTTTAAATCAAGAATTTATCTTGAAAAATTATCTCTGCATTGAAAAGCTAAATAAGTTTTGAAATACATGCACATGTACATTGCATACAACCTTAAGGAGCTCTACCACTCATTATGTAATTAACATATACTCATATATGGTTATCACCTCGTACATACATGTAACGTACAAGAGACATTTTTATGGTTCCCCATCCCTCTGATCACTCAGGAAAAATAATGTGTAATTCACAAAAACCAGCAATACCTTGTAGTAATGCAAAATTTGAGAGAAATAGTCATTAATTAATTAATGAGTTGATGTTATCTCCCTTATCAGTATGTTTATGGTTATAATAGTTGATGTTATTGAGGTTCTTGGAGCTTTGAAATTAAATGGCGGTAAAGCCTATCTGTCATCTTAACCATAATAGGCCCATATTAAGGTACCTGGTACTTAAAAATGGCCAAAAGTGAAATTACAGGTTCCTTATTCTTTCACTGCTTAAGTTGCATTTCTTTTCTCACGTACGGAATCCTAATAGGTTATCCCATCTTGATTACAGATTATTTGATGAATAATATATTGATATATGATTGATTTTCACATTGTTTTAAACATCATAGTTATTTGCTTCATATTTGTATTTTCAGGAAAGAGTGGAATATTTTTTTTTAGTTATATTCACCTTAGAAGCAATCATGAAAATTATAGCGTACGGATTCGTGCTACATTCAGGTGCCTACCTCCGTAATGGATGGAACATCCTAGATTTTATAATTGTAGTTATTGGGTAAGTCTATTCCTCACATGATCAGATTTAAATATAAAGTTTTTGTCTATATTTATTGATACATGTAGTTGTCGCTATCTTTCTACAATGCAAGCTTAGTTTATTTTACATATATATTCCAAGATTGTTCGCTTCCTTATTTGGAAAAAAAAAATTGAACAGATTTTCATGAAATCTTGAAATTTTATTTAACATGAATTTGGAAATAAAAAAGAAATATAGAAGATTGTTTTCATGGTTATATGTGGGATTTATAGTGAAATGCTTTTAGTTTTTCTGTATAGAAAAATTTAGGAACTATATTTTTTACTCTATATTATTATATATAATAAATCACTATATTTATAGATTCTCTTCTTATAAAGCAATTTTACCAGTTGCCTAACGACCAATAATTATTCACTTCTTTTTAAAATTTGATTTTAAATTTTTTTCTGAGTTAATAACTTATATTAAGCATTTTATTCTGGAAAAGTTATTTATATATTTAAACACCTTTGGTTTATAGTTACTGTTTATAAAAAAAATACTGTCAGATTTAACTTCAGGAGAATTAATGACCTCCCAAAAAAGTGAATAAAATTTCTTCAGCTACATTTAATTTCTTTCTTTCAGTAGCATTCACACTTGCTTTTCTTTATCAAGCTAGCATTGCAGTCCTTTGATTATGTTTATAATGTATAAATAAATAGAAAATAACCAAAAAATAAAATAAAAATGATAAAAAACAGCAATGATTAATTATTAAAAAGAACTCATGTAATGCAAAAAGGCATTGAGTACTGGTTTGAGGTTAAATGAGTTTGATTTGAGTTTGAGTACACCAATGAGTTTGAGAATATCAACGAGTTTAGTATGAGAGCAGTGAGTTTGGTACCAGTTTGAGAACATCAATCACATGACACTGATTTTCTTTCTGTTGGTTAGTCTTATCTCAATCTTTATAATGTGAGTACAAATTAGTGCATGCTGTCAATACTGTCTATAGTGACCACTAGATGTTGTGGCTTCTATCAACACAGACTTTAAGTGTGCAAATCAAGCCACACAATTTTAATCACTCTAGTTTTTGTATAATTTAATTTAAAAAAAAACACACCAGATAACTATATCATTGAATATTTTTGCCATAATTTAGAGGTTTTTCGCTTTAAACATCTTTCACGGTCATTTGCAGTTCTTAGTTTGTCACTATAGCGAAAACATATTGTTCATCTTCATTGAGTTTGTGAGGAAATCTTGATAATTATGTCGACCTACTAAGGATAGACCTTTGGAGGGTCAATAAATGATACATTTTTGCCATTATTCATCGTTAGCCTTATTTTGATTTTCTGGGTTCATTAGTCTCTCATTCAAGAAATGCCAAGTTAGTAAAAGACCAGTGATCATCCAATCAACACACACATTGAAGTTAAAGAATTTAAGGCAGTTCTTTGAAGATAAGTGAACATAATAAATTGCTCCAACAAATCTAATTCTTTATTAATGGAAGCATTGGTTGGTCATTGTGCACTTTGTTCGAAATAAGCCAAGACTTTATTTTTCAGTTTTAACACGTACAAAGACATAATAAATGTACCATCTTTGGTCATATTAAACATTGTCCACTGTGTCATATCCTTGCACTTCTTGGTGTAGACATATTTGTTTCTACATTATTTTTCACTCAATCAAGTATAAATCTTTTGATTTATTCTCCCTATGTACCTTATTGTGGTTCTATATTAATTTGAATAGAGATTATTTGTATGCCCATATTGTCAGTGTCAACTTTTTTTTTTATCCACGTATATTCCCTGCAATTTGTCAAAGTTTTCATTTCATTGTATGTTGTTAAACGTGATATATGACATAAAAAATGATTTTTGAAATTAATCTCTTAAATGTCAGAATGCTTATTATATCTGATTAAAACTTAACCAAGATAATTTACGGATCTGTAACAAAGTTTATTTTTAACAATGGTGATGATTCATTACATATTGATGCTTATGATCATGTCTGCTTGAAAAAATCCATATTACGTATTTGTACTCTAACATGACTTTTTGTTTGCAGGCGTGCAGTTACTCGCAGATGGATCTCATTTCATATTTATATTTATTATTTACAGATATCACTTGCTGCATTGCAGATCAATCCATTTTGGAATACTTTAAGACTGAAATAATTGAAATGATTTGAAATAATTGTAACCTGTTTTGTTTTCAGTATTATAACGCCAGTGCTATCTTTGTTAAATGTATATGGATTTGATGTTAAGGCGTTGCGAGCCTTCAGGGTATTGCGTCCTTTACGATTGGTCTCGCGGGCCCCTAGTAAGTAACCAACACAGCCATACCGGGAGACCTTAGTGGACTAATCTCTCTAACCCTTATATCTTTTTTTCTGTTTTACTGCTTGCGATCGGGAGGAGGAGTTTTATTGCTTGATTAACAGTCAATGTATATATGTGTAAACCAACCCATGTAATTCTATAAAAGTGCAGTAATAGTTGTAGCTCTTTTGGAGTACATGTACCAGTTTTTGTATATGGACAAAAAAGCTACGATACTGTATTTCATTTGATGAAATTAAAGAAATTTGTAAATGAACTTGTAAAAGAGTTCATGTGTTTTGGTGGTTACTGCTGACATCTATTGTATTCTGACATTACAAGAAGGAGAGATTTGTAGAATGGCCAGTGAGATGGCAGATGGGTTGTGTTTTAGCATGGGTTGTAGCTTCTTCCCTCTTCGTTTCAGTATAATAAGCACTGTCTTATCGACAATGAACATCAGTAATTTTGATGTAAAAGCCCTGCGAGCATTTAGGGTTCTGCGGCCCCTACGTCTGGTTTCAGGCGTGCCCAGTAAGTATCTAGGTGTTTGGTGTATTTTTTTTTTAATCAGTGTCCTGTAAATTCTTTTAGCACTTGACAATAAAGACTGATTACATCCACATAGATGAATAGATAAACCTGCTCCAGTGAACCAAACTGACCCAAGACTTCCTTAGAGAAAAATACCTTTGAAGAATTAAGTACCCTAAAAAACATCGTTTACTTATACTTTCTTACCTTTTCCTCTAATTTTTTTAGTAAAAATTGATTCATTGTCCTACATTTAACCATTAATATTAACATAATTTCCCCACTTTTAAAAAAATATAAATGAAAGCCTAAATATAGCAACTAAATCTGTAACATTTTGAATTCGGAATTTTCCTTCCTTTATGTAACCTTTAATTTCATATAACAATTTTAAATTATTTTTATTGCCGGAGGTGTACAAAAAATAATGTCCTCTCTGAACTAAGGAACTTGTATAATGATTATAAAAGGATACCCAGGTCTTGGAGTACTAATATGTAACAATATATTTCATGTTGTTTCTGTACAACATGAAAAAATATAAATTTAGGTACTTTGGTAAAGTAATTTTGATAAAAAATTCCATTGAAATTCTTCTCTGCAGACTTGTAAAGGGTTGAAAAGACCATTGAAATGGTACATGTAGCTCTTCAGAGTTTTACCCAATGTCCCTATAGTTTCTGAGAATTTTGGTCTCTTTATCCTTTGAACTTATAAAATATAGCATCAGATGAACTTTTTAATTTTCCTTGGCATAAGTTAAAAAAAAATTAAATTCTTTGTTTACTTGTAAGAAGACAAAAACTTTGCCCTTTCTATATTAGTACGAACAGGGCAAGAACCTGTCATTACATTTCTGGCACCGCAGGGCTTTCTGAAAATAGAAAGGAGTTATATGTATGCACAGCATAATACAGGGTAATGTTCAATCTTCAATCAAAATTTCAGCTATTATTTTCCATTTTCAGTGCATTTACTGAAAAATAAGATGTCACAGAAAAGTGCACCTAAGACATTACTGTCAGAAAATGATATATGTGTCATACCATGTTAAGCTAATTTGTGAAACAGTTTCAGTACTTTTCAAAAAAGCACAGTGCTTGTGACAATTATTTTTAATACATCTGCATATTGCTAGCACTTAAAGCTGAGGCAGAGTTTTGTCCCTTTGATTTGTGCTGTGACATACTTTATCTCCCTTGACCCAGTATGTAGTGTGCAATTTAAGGAATGACTTGTGTGATCTCCCACAGTGCATTTTTTCTGTGTGTTTGGTTGTAGAATATTGTTTTATTTAATCATGATGTGTGTTATTTGTGTCTTATTTTACATTTATTTTGTAATTTAAGTGTGGACCAATTTTAAACTATTTTGATGGTATACTTTGAAAACTCAAGTGTATAATTTTATTTTTAATTTCATTTTAATTTTTTTTTTTTGGTGGTATACGAATTGATTTTAAAAAATAAACAGAATTAAAATAAAATGAAAATGAAATTGAATTGTAAAAATCCCCAATAGTACCAAAAAATACATGAATTTTGCAACATCCAGTTTGATTCCTATGGTTTCTCAATGAAGACAGATAATAAAACCCAGGTGAGACTAGGATCAGGTTGAGCTACAGTGGTGGTATATGTATAACTCTATGCCAGGTATGAGGGAATGGCAGATTAGGGGGTTATGTGGGCAGGAAAAGTACATTAACAAGTTCTGAGTGATTGAAGACAGGTGCTGTGGTTTATCAATTGAAATATAACATTGTTATAGGCATAATGCATTACACCCACATCAGATGTAACAAGAAATGTACATATGTATAAAGAAATTATATATTATGAGAATACTGTCCCTGAAATTTTTAGTTCCTCTTTTAAAGAAATGAAAAAAGTTTACAATATATTTCAAAGCCTTTGGGAATGAAAAGCACTTTCAAATTGCTGTTTTGATGTAGGACTCAGTTCATTATATTAAGTGTGTTTGCTATAGGCAATGAATTACAATTTTTAATATTTGATACAAAATTCAATGGAAATTTAATTTTTAATTTTTTCCCTCTCTGTTTAATTAGGAAACTTAAGAAACAAAATATAATGGACCCTACATTATGGTACACAGATTTATATAATTATTACTTAAGTCATTGATTTTGTTTGCTTTTTATGTTTTTATTTGTTTTTGTTTTAACATTAACTAAACTTGTTTTTGCATGCCATTTTTCAGCCCATATTAAACATATAACAGAATACACTGCAGTGAAACTTGTCTAATCCAAGTTGAGTATTCCAAAATCTTGCCTAATACAGTTGTTAACGTCTGAGTCCCTTTCCAGAAATTCTTTGGTTTAAAACAGTTAAATTCTGAATGTTGTTTAAACTGGCCAATTTCTTTGGTACAAATGATGTCTGGTTTAGACAAGTTTCACTGTTCTAAGAAAAAAACAGAAGTAATCATATATTTAGTTTAATTTTTAAAATATCAATTGTTCATACATGTCAAGAATATCTTGAAAAATTTAACTTCAATTTTCTTTAAATCATTTAAATAAAAATATGCATTTTGATAGCTCAAATTCCTATTGAAGCTTTGGACTTGATACTGTAAACCAACTATTATTCGCATCAATTTTTATTTGTGATTCGTCAGTTTAAAATCAATCCGCGACGATTAATTTCCACAACTGAGGAAACATTCTCTACAAATACTTAGCAAAATGAATGGTTCGCAGTGATTAGTATTCGTGAATAAAGTTAGGCCGCAGAACTCTCTGATATTTCTTGCACGTGAATAAAAGTTGGTTTACAGTATTTGTGTGGTTTTCCTTTCAGACCTTAGGTGGTGCTTTATGTACATATTGTGTGGTTTCTTTTCAGGTCTACAGGTGGTGCTTAACGCCATTGTGCGTGCCATGGTGCCTTTACTTCATATAGCTTTGCTTGTGATCTTTGTCATATTTATATATGCCATCGTGGGATTAGAACTTTTCTCAGGATCCATGCATGAAACATGTTTTGATAAAGAAACAAGTAAGAGGTTTTTTTGTGTGTTCTGTTCTCAATGCCCTGATAGATCAAAATGATGCTATACAAAAGGGCTATATCCAGTTCTTATACTTTTTAAGGATATATTTCAAATTATACAACTATTACCTTTAAGTAAATTAAAGTTGACATGAAAATAGTCTTAATGAAGTGGGCTGAGCTGATGGATTGAGGGTGAATGGTAGGTAATTTAGTGGATTAAGAATCAGATGAACATAAAGAGATGCTGGATAAATGACTGATTGTTCTTTTGTCTATTTAGATTCCGTCATGACTCTTTCTAATGTCCATCCCTGTGGGAAAGGATTTACTTGTCCTAACGACTCTGTGTGTCAGAAATATTGGGCTGGCCCAAACGATGGAATCACAAACTTTGACAACTTCGGTTTAGCAATGTTAACAGTATTCCAATGTATCACATTAGAGGGGTGGACAGATGTCTTATATAATGTAGGTATCAAACATGTCTGAAACAAAGTAACATAATGAATTTGATTTTAATCAGATTGAATTTGATGTATTATAGAGAAACCATAGATTTTTTTTTTGGGGGGGGGGAGGGGGGTTAATTGATGGTTTATTGTTATAGCCTATGAACATGTAAAAAATCTGATACTTTCTATTTCAGATAAATGATTCACTAGGAAATAGCTGGCCCTGGATATACTTCATTAGTTTAATCATTATTGGATCATTTTTTGTACTCAACTTAGTTTTAGGTGTACTTAGTGGGTAAGTATTTCTAGGTTTCTTAATCTCAAAAAAAAGTGCATAGCAAAATTTGATTGAAATTGTTTCTTTTAAAAATTCACTTTATTCTGAAAGAATTCTGCTTTCAGTGAATTTTCTAAAGAGAGAGAGAAAGCCAAAGCTCGGGGTGATTTTCAGAAGTTGCGAGAGAAGAAGCAACTGGAAGAAGATCTCCGGGGATATCTAGACTGGATTACTCAAGCAGAAGATATAGACCCGGAAAACGAGGAAGAAAATGAAGAAGGTGCTACTCCCCGCCACAGTGAGTATCAGAGGTGCCAGGGAACACAGTGAACATATCAGGGTGTCAGGGGGAAGTCAGGGGATGTCAGGGGATGTCAAGGAGAATTCAGGGGATGTCAGGGAGAATTCAGGGGATGTCAGGGGGAAGTTAGGGGATGTCAGGGGGATCTGATGGTAGTTATAGTGAGAAATCCTAGCTGTACCAAATAAAAAAACAGATATGGATTTTTTTTCATATACATTTATTTGCCTCACAGACAGTATGTTGTTAGTATAATTTTTGCTTAAGAAGACAAAATAATATGTTGAAGAAATTGTTGTTTTTAAGTGTTTGGTTGTTGACCTTGACTTGTATTAAAGAATACTGTGAGAAGGTAATGTGCTGATTTCTTAATATGAATGAATGGACTTGTCAATGAGATTTATCTTTGTAAACAAGCCAGAAATAGCTCCATGTTACTTTTTCTGAATGCATTCACCTCAGTTTTAACTCCACTGAATCCAGACACAGAAAGCTCTTATTGATTTGGTACAGTTTCAAGTACAGCCATTGGGATGGAGGGCAAAAAGCATTATTATTTTACAGTTCAGGTATTGAAGAAGTATGGAAAATATCGGAATGTTTCCATAAAAGATCTTTACAGATAATTAATTTAGCCTCGTTACAGTATTGAGTTACCAGAATGATCTAGAGTAATTCAATAACGGGCATCTAGGGAGAAAATCTTTTCCAATTATCATAATTGATGTGAATCAAGAAAATATGATTTACATGTATAAAAATGTGGATTCCAAGGTTGAATTATCTAGCTATTTCCATTGGGTACTTGTATATGTAAATGACCTTGTCTTTGGTGGGGCGGCTTGTCTCGTCTGTGGCACCTCTGAGGTTTTGTGATGTGGCAGCCTATTCACTTCTTGTGACTCTCTACCCTGATTGTGGCTATGACTACACCATATGTTTTCTTTTTTTCTTATTCTCTCTACCTCCACAATCAAATCTGATGTTCCTTATGCTCTTTTGTCATTTCCCTATATATCCCTGCTGTTTTTTGAGTGTTTCTTCAGAGAGTTCTTTATTCATCTAGAATCTTTTTATGCATGTTATCAAATCTCTAAGAGCCATCATTTCAAACCTCAACCCTTTTCTGTTTTTTGCGTAGAAAGTGTCTCCAACAATTTTGAAATGTCTCGACCCTCTTACATGTTGGCACTTTTCCAAGAAATTCTTTTTTCCAATCAATGGCACTCAGATTTACTTTATTTTACAAAATGCTTAATACCTACATGTACTGGTATGTTAAATTTTCCAAGGAAGTCATTTAAACGTAAATTGCAGTACGCAAAGAATTTACACTGTTCTTTAAATCGCAAAATATATAATAAAACATAAAAAAAAAAATATGAAGCTTTAAAATATTTTCATTATAATTTGGATGATTTAACTCTAAGTTTATTGTGTTCTCTTGAATATTTAAATAGAAAACCAAGAGACTACTTCAGTGAAGACTGAGGATGTAGAGAGTGGGGAAATCCAACAGACGTGGTGGCACAGAAAAAGGTAAACAGGCATGAAACTAACAATATCAATGAAATAGGAAAACCTACAGGACGATTTTGCTCCATCTTGAATTTCTTCATCTTTGAGTAGGGCAAAAGGGGGCATAAATGTATACATGTAGTAATAGAAAACAAAATTTGCAGGATGATATTAGTGGTTTTGTACAGGGATAAGGAGCTGTTTGTATATATGTATGTATGTTTTGATTTTTCCCCCTTTTCAGTCGGAGGTTACGGAAATGGAACAGGAGATGTCGTCGAATGTGTAGAAAATTAGTCAAATCCCAAGCTTTTTATTGGACTGTCATAGTGATGGTGTTCCTAAATACGTGTGTGTTAACTTCTGAACATCACGGACAGCCCCATTGGTTGGATAGCTTTCAAGGTGTGTGGGATTTCAGAGAAAACATGAATTTTACTGCAACATACCTTAATTAGCACAAAGTGAGGTGTCTCACTGAGTTGCAATGTCTGTGAAACTTAATTGACAACTGACTTGATACATTTGAAAAAAAATTGAAATGCAAATAATCTATTTTCAACTAAAGTACATGTATCATGGTATACAGATCTAATGTTTGCGAAATTGATTTGACAATAGATCATGATAAAAGTGATTTAATTAAAAGTACCGGTAATGCAAAATCTCCTTTCAACCTTAATGATATAAAATGACTACATATAATATACTTTGCAGCAATTGCCAATTTGTTCTTTGTGATCCTGTTTACCCTGGAGATGTTGTTGAAGATGTACAGTCTGGGACTACAGGGCTACTTTGTCTCCTTATTTAACCGTTTTGACAGTTTTGTCGTCCTCTTCAGCATCATAGAAGTCATTCTCATTTACACCAATGTCTTTCCACCCCTAGGAGTCAGTGTGCTCAGATGTGCTCGATTGCTTCGTGTTTTTAAAGCTACAAGGTAAAACTGAAATCACTCGATATGCTGTAATATTTCATTTCTATCCATTGGATGAATTAAGGGTTGATCCATAGGATGAATTAAGGGTTGGGAACATCCAACAGAAATCTATGTTCAGTAATAAATGTCCAGGCAAGATTCTTGTTTATATATATGATAGTTGTACCGTATAAGCAGAATTTTTAGCAAGGATTTAAATGTTGGCATTATTAGCGAGGGTGCCAAGATTGCCAAAATTGAATATCGCTAAAAATTAATTGCCCTTTATTTGTAATAGCTTCTTTAGTGAGCTTTTTAAAATCGCTGAAATTACATCTGGCTAAAATTAAAATGCCAATTTTTAAGGACAAATCGCTAAATTTGCGTTTCGCTAAAATTTCCACTTTGTATATGAAAATTCAGATTCTTATTATTTAAGTTGAACATTTTCAGACTTTTATAAAAGCTTTGTGACGCATTTATAGCAAATATCAACATGATAAAAAGGTTGATTGTGTAACCAGGTCATTATTTGTTTACACAGCATTTTAACAATTCTAAATAAGCTTACCCTGATGACCATTAGCAGTATTTGATTGTTTATGATTATTATTTTCAGATACTGGTCCTCCCTTCGTAACCTGGTGGCCTCCCTGTTAAACAGTATGCGCTCCATCGCCAGCTTGTTGCTTCTCCTCTTTCTGTTCATTGTAATCTGTGCCTTACTGGGTATGCAGTTGTTTGGAGGAGAACAAGAGTAAGAGAGGAGAGAGAGAGAGAGATTTTAGTGAAAGAGAGAGTATAACGAAAAGTTGAACAAAAATTACCCATTTATAAAACAGAACAGAAGTAGAGTATCGTTTTGTGATTTTTTAAGTACTGGGCCCATAAGTAAAAGGGTGGCCTCCCTGTCGAACAGATGCGCTCCATCGCCAGTGTCGGCATTCTCCTCTGTTAAAGTTTTAGGAGCTGTTCATTGTAATTATGTGCCCTACTGGACCAAACTTGCAGTTGTTTGGAGGCAAGTTCAAAACATCATCTGATGCTGGGTCTAAGCCTACATTTTCCAAACAAGTGACTAGGTTAATGTTTTTGGAACAATCTCCCAATGAACTTTAAGACCTGTTAAACAGGTATAATGCATACAGTTTCTGACAAACATTACACATTTATAAAACAGAACAGAAGTAGAGTATCATTTTGTGATTTTTTAAGTACTGGGCCCACAAGTAAAAGGAGGGATTTTTTTTTTAAATACCATAATATTTATGGCTTGATACATAGTAATGGTCAAAGTTTAAACTACTTGTCTAAAACATGTATTCCAGATTATTGCTATGTGTTCTGATAAAAATTTCTGTGAAGATATTTTCCCATAGAATTACTGATAAATTTGCCTGTTTTAGATATTGACTGGTGAGGACTGGAATATGGTGATGTACAATGGCATTAACTCGTATGGCGGTGTCAACTCTGCGGGATTAATCACCTGTCTCTACTTTGTCATCCTCTTCATCTGTGGTAACTGTATCCTTAATGCTAAACAAAGCTAAAACTACCAGAGAAGTGAAACACCTAGGAGCATTATTTTAGAGAAGTATTTTTTCTGGTACTTAAAAAAGCACTCTGTTTGTTCCAGCCGACTTTAAGGCATATAGTATTATTCTCAGAAATACACAGTTTTCTTCAAATGGATTGATCAGAAATTGTGATTCTGTGGAATTTTGACACTGTGGAAAACAGTAGATAAAATATATATATATACAAGCATTAAAGTTAAAATATTTTGACCTCAAATAATTAAATGATAGTGACTTTACATATTTTTCGTCAAATAAACATACCTGAGACAGCGGTTTCCTTGACAAAGCTATAGATATCCTACTGAACGTCTTCTTGGCTATCGCCGTGGATAACTTGGCCGACGCCCAGAGTCTGACGGAGGAGGAGGGGGAAAAGGAGGACGAAAAGGAACGGATACGATCACTACGGAGATCCAAAACACCGGAGGGGGAGGAGAAATCCAAGGTAGGGGGCAGGTCTTAGTTACTCAGGGCTCAGTAGTTACTTTGAACTCGGGCAAAGAAGTTATGTTGGTTCAGGACTATGAAGTTCATGTGCACTCAGGACTGAATAGTCACTTTGTTCTCAGGGTTGTTTAATCACATTGGACCTGTCATTTTGCACTTGAAATTCTGGTATTTTGAGCTAACCTTTCAAGCTAACCTTTCAAGTTTCTGAATTTAAAAGAATTGACATATATCAAATGTTTATGATGAATTACACAAATATATTTTTTGCAATTTTGACTTCAAAATACTGCAGAAATTATCATTTTACTGTGAAAAATGAATATACAGTCAAACTTGTCTTAGCGGCCAACGGAAATCAACGGCCACTTGATTGAGTTCCCCCCGATGATTTTTCGCTATATATTTTAACTGGAATAAACGGCCACTTGTGTAACGCGGCCAGTGGCCAGTCCAATCCTCCCCCAACAGCCTTATTGACACTGTAATAGGCGGCCATTTCGTCACTTGTTGCGATTCTATCACATCTCTTAAACGTTTTGGCTTGGGTAATTATATCCTCGATAGTCAATTTAACCTATTAATGCAATTAAAAAAATTTCTTTTAGATACGCTGAACTCTGTTTGTGTTTATGAAAAAAAATGTTTGTCCTGTTAAATCAATTTGTAATTAAAATGGTGAAAAATTAAAAGAAAATTACAATTGATACTTTCCTCTAGCTAAAGAAATTCACACCTTTTAGATTTTGATTCCATGTAGAAGCCCTAATTGCTACTCTTGTAAATACAAAGTGCTTCATATGGCAGGATTATCTCGTGAATTTCACTATCAAGAGACGATTGATAGGGATTAGTAACGCTCTACTGAATGTGACACCTGTGTTATGGAATGATTCTCAGCTGCGTAAATACATCTCTCTGGTCAGCTGGTTAATTTTATTTGTGTGTCTGTGTATGTTAAACAAAAATTCTGACAGCTTTATCAAAATAAAATTAATCAGACTTTATAAACTTCAGCAAGTAAGTTAATTACCGATTAATTAAGTTGGGGGGGGGGGGTACACTGCTGACTATCTTTTTAACATATGTAATTGAAATTTTTATTGACATATTTTTACTTAAATTCCTATGCTTTATTTTCTTTACCATTAAACTGTATTTTTGTGGGGTTTTTTTCTTGATAAAAAAGGATAATAGTCAGGCACTGTATGTATTTCTTCAAATGAAAATTAAAAGAGTTTATTTATTAATTCAATGTAACAAAAGCACACTTATGAATGCAAGATGTTTAACCAATATGTAGGAACAGAAATATGCACTAAAATCTTAAACATTTCAAATTCTTAAATATTCTTTTTAAATGAGCTTGAATTATTATATATACACATAAAAAGCTTTTGTGAAATTGAACTGTTTAATTATGATTAATTAATTTAACTGTAGTGCTTAATGTTGTTTATTTATTGACTGAATGTCCTTTTTGAGTGCAAACTGGAATAAGAGGCCATCTGTCTTAAGTGGCCAGTTTCCAGACTTCCCAAAGGTGGCCTCTTAAAACAAGTTTGACTGTACTTGTAAGTGAGTTGTGCATCACATTATTAACATGAAGTGTCAGATAAATTCAATTTAATTGCTGGACAGTTCTTTCTATGACATAATTGACAACATTTTGTTTTCTTTTCTGTTTAGGAAGCAGAGCTGGAACCAGATGAAGGAGTTGGAATGAATGAAAATGGTGGAGAGGAAGAAAATGCTTACCATTCTCGACAGCCAAGTCAGAGGTCACACAGGTCAAGGTAATGGGTCAACTCATAATCAGGTCAAGGACTCATTGTACAGCATTAAACAATCATCCTATAGTAAGGTCAAGGCATTGGATCAACTCATTAATCAGGTCAAAGACTCACTGTACAGCATTAAAAACAAGCATCCTATAGTAAAAGAAACAAAACAAACAGCAAAGTTGACATTTATCAGAATGACTAATGCATAGTTGATCTGATTGCAGTATTTTTTATTAGGATGTGGTTTTTTACTCCACAGGATAATTTGTTTTATTTTATGTAAATTATGATATTTTTCTGAAATAATTGTAGGCAAGATGTTGGTCCAGAGACAGATGAACACCGAGTAAGAATCAACCTGGGACATACAGAGGATGAATACAGAGACTCAAACCATGTACCTATTGAGGGTAAGTTCTCTTCCTAAATCCACCTGATTCCTCCCAACACATTGTGTTTTATGGTCCCCCTGAAGGCAATGGTACGAGAAAACCTTTTACTGACTTTCTAGCCACTTTTTGATCTAATTGCCAATAGCAGAAGATCTAGACAACCTTTTGTTCTTTATTTGCAATTTTTTTCCTATAATGGTAGACTATCTGTATGTCTATAATGGTAGCCCCTTTGTATGTAGGAGAACCTACGTTTTATAGAATGAATGCAAATAACACATTTTCGGAACTGTGGCAGTTTTTCCCACAACGAAGACCATATATATATATTGCCATGATGAAAGACAATAATACCTTGTATCTGTAAGGAAAGTATGTGGAAGAGAAAATAATATGTTAGAATCTTCCTCAGTTAGGGTAGATAAATAGTAACTGACAAGTAATCTTCATCAGTTACTGAGTACCGTGTTTTCTCTGAATGTTTTTACCATAATTGTACAATGTGAAGTGCCTGTCTGTGTTTTTGAAGCAGGTTCAGTATTTGTTTTATGCCTTTATTTTTCATTAATAACAAAGATTTTAGGTCATCTTGACAAAGTTTGCTGAGGGAGTGGGGGTGTGGTGTGGAAAAGTTTTAAGAAAAAAGTAATTTTAGTGATTTTATGATGTCAAGAAATACAGCTGCTACCTTATATGTAGATTGAAATGTTAGCTTCATCTAATTTAGTAACCTGAAGATTCCCCAAGACCCAAATTGATTCCTTGCTAAGAATTCTGATTCTTCTTTGGGGTTATTTGTAGAAATGTTATGCAAGGCAGGTTAAATTGATTAAAATTGCAGGGATTTTTGAAGAAAAATGTTTAACTTTGGCACTGAATCATTTCTAAGATTTCTTTCATTATGAACATTGACTAAACTTACATGGCTATAACAATAAGTGGTTGGGGGGATTAAATCTTGCACTTATGCTGTGGGCACCTTATGTTTCCCAGCCTGGTGCTATGTTTAATTAATGTTCTATATTTAAAACTGTAAATTCTACTTTGGAAAATTTGCTCTGATGGTAACCTACAGTAAGTGTTGCATTATGTCTAAATGGTCTAGATGGGGAATGAAACAATTTATCATATTGCGATGGTGTTTGACTGTCCTTTTTAATTATGTCAAGGTGTCCTATAAAATCTTTGAGAATGCATTGTGTAATAATAACTTGTGACATACTCCAGCTTCTTTGCTTACTACAATCACAGCTTGTTCTTGGCAAAATTAGCTTTTCTCAATTCATTTAATTTTTCAATAAAGCTTTAAAATATTTTTTTTTTCTGACTAGAATTTTCTTCTTCTTTGTTACTTGCCTTTTCTGTATAGCCCTATTTACTACTATAAATGTAACAAATGAAATAATGGATATTGCAACATGGCTATCAAATTTATGTATGTTTTCTTGCCAAGCATGACAACTATTTAACAAGATATATAACCAAAATTGTGTATTAATGGGTAAAGGTTTAGCCCAATCTCTAATGTTATGATTCCCACCTGTTTATCTTGCACTAACCCAGAATTTGAATCCACGTTTTCTATTACCCAGAAGATGACGACCCGAGTGCCAGTGATACCAGCTCGTTTGATCTCCTAGGTAATGGCCGTCTCGTTATAGTGTCATTTGTTGCTATATTTCGTCGTTTTCTTTTTTTTTCTTTGCAGTAATTTTTTTTGTAAATCAAGTTTACTTGTAGTGATTTAGTTTTTTTACGTATTGTCTCATATTTCCTTTCTTCCACATGTGTAAGAAATTCTTGATGGCACTTTTTCACGTAAAAAAAAATAATTTAATAATAATATCTGAAGAACACACAAGGGAAAGATGTACTTGTGCATATTTTAAAAAGGTTTTTGCAGGTTAGAACACTAACACCTTTGCATGCTTGTCCATTAATATGCATGGAGCATTTGCTGATTAATTAGATATGAAATGATTGTGTATTACTAACAATAGGAATAATAAGCATTCATGAAATAAGTATAAATAACTATGAATTCATAGAGAGATGTATTAATAAATACAGTGAGTTGATTACCCAAAATTTCTTTGCTTTTATAATGCATGAATGTGTCGGTGAAACCAAGCCAGCAGTGGTTCACTGCATCACTTTGTTAAAGGTGAACTAACATAAATGTATCTGTCGGTCTGTTGTGAGTGACATCCTATAAGCGTCAGATTTTTTGACAGTTCAACAAATTAAGGATGGAGTGTTAGAAAAAATTTTTTTCAACAAACGAACAGAAGTTAAGGAACCCATTATCTACAGACCTTGCAGACAGGTGTTATCTATCTTCAGTCTGAATCAACAGAAATGTTTTATTTATGGTCTGTGTAGTGTGTTTTTGCTTTATGGTTTAATACCTAGGCTTTGATCTATTGTCATTATACCGTATAATCCCTATGAAAGTGGATAGGTCTTTTTTAATTGTCAGGAAATAAGGGCCCCCTGTACAGTGATTAAATTCATCTAGAATCGTATCGAGTCTGCCAAGATTTGAAGAAAGTGAAAATGAAACTTTCCATAATCCAATTTCTTGCTGGAAAATGAATCATTTAGAATAATATGGATGGATGATCTTCACTTTAAGTAAAGTTAGACATATTTAGTGTTTCTTTGAATTTATTTTTTTTTCAAAAGATTTTTTGAAATTAAAATATGACATTAAATTTTAGGAAGAGAATACCAAAATAACTGCCCCATTTTCGCAATTTTCTAAGCACCTGGGGCGGTTAATAGGGATTATACGGTACCATATATTACAAGGTGAAAGTGGATATACTGGAGTTATGACCCTTGGTCTGCCCATTTGCCCCTGTCTGTAGACACTAGTTCAGACTTAAGTTACAGGTCTCGATCTTCCTAGTGTCTCACAAGCGGTCAAGTGGATTTCAATGCAGAGAATTTTCCTCAAGCTTATTGAAATCATTGGATGCATTGATCAATGAAGTGTACAAAATATGTTGTATTTCAATAGTTCCTCACCTGAAGTCTTGATTCAACAGCTCTAGTTTATTTAACAGAACTTGATATAGATTCTAATGCTGCATTTTTAGTCATTTCTTTAAGATCTTTTGTTTCCCTGTAAGGAAGTCCATTTTAGCATTTCTTTCAAGGAAGGGCACTTAATTTAAGAATATCTTGACACTAGTAATGTAAATAATTTTCTAATTTTTCCATTTGTCAGCACTTTTAGGCAACACCTATTAACTTATTAAGGGTTGTAGATTATATTTGTATGACAATAGAGGATAATGTATTGGAGTTCATGAGGAGGTTGCTGATTTAGAGTTGTGTGTTGTAATGAGGAGGTTGATGATTTAGAGTTGTGTGTTGTAATGAGGAGGTTCATGATTTAGATTTGTGTATGTAATGAGGAGGTTGATGATTTAGAGTTGTGTGTTGTAATGAGGAGGTTGCTGATTTAGAGTTGTGTGTTGTAACAAGGAGGTTGATGATTTAGAGTTGTGTGTTGTAATGAGGAGGTTGCTGATTTAGAGTTGTGTGTTGTAATGAGGAGGTTGATGATTTAGAGCTATGTGTTGTAATGAGGAGGTTGATGATTTAGAGTTGTGTGTTGTAATGAGGAGGTTGATGATATAGAGTTGTGTGTTGTAATGAGGAGGTTGCTGATTTAGAGTTGTGTGTTGTAAAGAGGAGGTTGCTGATTTAGAGTTGTGTGTTGTAACAAGGAGGTTGCTGATTTAGAGTTGTGTGTTGTAATGAGGAGGTTGATGATTTAGAGTTGTGTGTTGTAATGAGGAGGTTGATGATTTAGAGTTGTGTGTTGTAATGAGGAGGTTGATGATTTAGAGTTGTGTGTTGTAATGAGGAGGTTGATGATTTAGAGTTGTGTGTTGTAATGAGGAGGTTGATGATTTAGAGTTGTGTGTTGTAATGAGGAGGTTGATGATTTAGAGTTGTGTGTTGTACTGAGGAGATTGATGATTTAGAGTTGTATATTGAAATGAGGAGGTTGATGATTTAGTGTTGTTTGTTGTAATGAGGAGGTTGATGATTTAGAGTTGTGTGTTGTAATGAGGAGGTTGATGATAAGTTGTGTGTTGTAACAAGGACGTTGATGATTTAGAGTTGTATGTTGTAATGAGGAGGTTGATGATGTAGAGTTGTATGTTGTAATGAAGAGGTTGATGATTTAGAGTTGTGTGTTGTACTGAGAAGGTTGATGATTTAGAGTTGTGTGTTGTAACAAGGAGGTTGATGATTTAGAGTTGTGTATTGTACTGAGGAGGTTGATGATGTAGAGTTGTGTGTTGTACTGAGGAGGTTGATGATTTAGAGTTATGTGTTGTAACAAGGAGGTTGATGATTTAGAGTTGTGTATTGTAATGAGGAGGTTGATGATTTAGAGTTGTGTGTTGTAATGATGAGGTTGATGATTTAGAGTTGTGTGTTGTAATGAGGAGGTTGATGATTTAGAGTTGTGTGTTGTACTGAGGAGATTGATGATTTAGAGTTGTATATTGAAATGAGGAGGTTGATGATTTAGTGTTGTTTGTTGTAATGAGGAGGTTGATGATTTAGAGTTGTGTGTTGTAATGAGGAGGTTGATGATATAGAGTTGTGTGTTGTAATGAGGAGGTTGATGATTTAGAGTTGTGTGTTGTGTAAGATGAGGAGGTTGATGATGTAGAGTTGTGTGTTGTAATGAGGAGGTTGATGATGTAGAGTTGTGTGTTGTACTGAGGAGGTTGATGATATAGAGTTGTGTGTTGTAATGAGGAGGTTGATGATTTAGAGTTATGTGTTGTACTGAGGAGGTTGATGATTTAGGGTTGTGTGTTGTAATGAGGAGGTTGATGATTTAGAGTTGTGTGTTGTAATGAGGAGGTTGATGATTTAGGGTTGTGTAATGTACTGAGGAGTTTGATGATGTAGAGTTATGTGTTGTAGAGGGAGAGACTGCTGCTGAGGATGAGGCAGATGAGGAGGACATGGAAGAACTGGAAGATGAGGAGGAGGAATCTCAGGCGCCCTCAACCGCTCGACCACGACGAATGTCAGAACTCCACATTCCTGAGAAAATCAAACCTATTCCTAAGGCTACTTCACTCTTCATTTTAAAACCCTCCAACAAGTAAGTCCAAAATCTTACATAATGTTAAAATAAAACATTCAAAAATAAATCAAAACATTGACATTTTTGAAAATGTGTGTCAGAGCAACAAGTTCTAAAGAGTCTAAATAGTTTGTATGTGCAAGGTTGGTACTTTTCCCACACAGAATTACACTTAAACCACCATATTTGATAAATATCACTAAGATAAATCATAGAGCTATAAGACAATCCTATCACAGTTATATTAGGTTTGCTTTAATGAACTTATGACAAATTTCCAGTTTAAGCACATTTTGACCATCTAATAATGTCTATGACACCATACACCTCTGTGTCTATCACAACTTTAATCCACTGTGTTTAGTATGACAGGTCTTGTAATCTCAGTGTTGTATTTGACAGATTCCGTAAGATTTGCCACAGGATCTGTAACCACCCGTACTTTGGTAACATCGTCCTGGCCTGTATTCTGATCAGTAGTGGAATGTTAGCGGCTGAGGACCCTCTACAGTCAGAGTCCAAGAGAAACGAAGTAAGTGTGGCACCGATCCCCTAATATAATACAACATAGGTGTTATAAATTTATTAATGGTGAATCTGGGTCTCTTCCTATGAATTTGGTTTATTATTTTAATATTGCACTTTTAAAAAAATTTTCATTGTGTTATTTCATTGTAGATCCTGAACTACTTTGATATATTTTTTACTTCCGTTTTTACCGTTGAGATTATAATCAAGGTGAGATTATTTGTATTTGAGCATCCTTTCTTTGTGTCTCGTAATGAATTGTTCATTTTACAGCTGCTGACAAATATTAAACTTTTTTGTAGATCATCACTTATGGACTTATTTTGCACAAAGGTTCATTTTGCCGCAGTTTCTTCAATATTTTGGACTTCATTGTTGTTGGAGTATCCATCATATCATTTGTTCTTAAGTAAGTTTCCTGTCTGTTTTGGCATAAATTTGCATTGGGAGCAGAGACTGTGCTCACTATTCTCCAGAGAGAATTATTTTTTTTATGCTCAGCTCTAAAGCTGTAAAAACATCACTCCTGTCCAGCACTCCTAAATTTTTGTTCTTTTTTTCAGCAATCAAGCCATATCTGTAGTCAAGATTCTCAGGGTGCTGAGAGTGTTAAGACCACTGAGAGCCATCAACAGGGCTAAAGGACTCAAGGTTTGTCTCCTGTCTGTCTGTCTGTCAGTCTGTCATCTTCAGTCACACACACTGTAGACTACAGCTAGTACAGATGAATCCTTTCAATTGTTTCGTTCTGTATATTTCTTTGAGGTCAGTTTTTACCTGTGTTCCCCTTCTATTGCAGCACGTGGTACAATGTGTGATTGTGGCTGTACGCACCATCTACAACATCATGCTGGTCACCTTTCTCCTACAGTTTATGTTCGCTGTCATCGGAGTCCAACTTTTTAAGGTTTTTCTAGATAGGGTCCTAAGATTACTCTTAAAAAATGTATGGTTCAGCTATGATGCAATGGTACTAGATGATGTAGGTGATATTGCATGTATTGGTTCATTAATTAAAGTGATAATGTCCTCTGATTTCAGGGTCGGTTTTACAGTTGTTCAGACAGATCCAAACTGACAGAGATGGAGTGCAGGTCAGTAATTATAATGCCTTTTTTTAACTATGTGTCACTTCGTAAGCAACATATTGTTAAAAAAGTAGCATAGAGGATCAAATTTTAATCAGATTGATTGGAATTGGTAAATACCAATTACTTACAAGAATTATTACATTGATAATGAATAAGAAAAGACTTGCAGAGATTGCCAAGATTTGTGATAGTCTCAAAGATATATATATATCTTCATGCCTCATTCCATTACACCCTACGAATTGTCGTTGATTTTGATGTTGATTTTTTTGTTGATTTTGTCATTGATTTTATCCTTGATTTTGGTGTTGTTTTCTGCAGGGGTCGTTACATTGACTACCCAGAAGGAGAAATAGATAAACCTGAAGTGAAGGAACGGGAATGGACAAACAACGACCTGAATTACGACAATGTTCCCAAGGCCATGTTGACACTGTTTACTGTCTCCACGTTTGAGGGATGGCCAGGGTATATATCGTTTTTATATCTGAAAACGTCCAGTAAATTTAATCATACATAGAATTATATTTCTGTGTAAATTCCCAAGAATTCTTAAATAGACTTGAAACTAAGTTAATTATGATTTGACAAAGCAAAGGAAAGTCTAGAATTTTGTACTAAAATACTCTTTGACCCTGAGTTATAATGTTTGTAATGTATTAAAAGGTTGCTGTATCAGTCCATTGATGCCAACGATGAGAACCATGGGCCTATTTATAACTACCAACCCTTTGTGGCCATCTTCTATTTTATCTTCATCATTGTCATCGCTTTCTTCATGATGAACATCTTCGTGGGTTTTGTGATCGTCACGTTTCAGAATGAAGGAGAACAGGAGTATAAGAACTGTGAGCTGGACAAAAATCAAGTAAGACATCACATTGTACTGAAACTTTATCTGACTTGCTGTTAAAGGGGAATCAAGTAAGAAATCACATCCTTGCTGAAATTGTACTTTACTGTGGAAAAGGAAATTACTGAGTTCTGATAATTAATGAAAAATCTAATTGTATACCTGTAATGAGTCATGTGTTGAATTTTTTTTTTTTTTCCCAATAAAAATGTACAGATTTAAAGTAAAAAAAAAAAAGCGTTATTATAACGTGTGAAAATAGAGATGTTTTGAAGCTTTTTTTTGTAGAAACATATGCAATTCATTGGTCTGATTAAATGAGAGGAGGAAAAAAAGAAAGTTTGTTCCTTACCCACATTTAACAATTAAAAATAAAAATGATCTTGACGTATCATTTCAGAGAAAATGTATTGAGTTTGCTCTCAAAACTCGTCCTACCCGGCGCTACATTCCTAAAGCTCGCTGGCAGTACAAGATCTGGTGGTTTGTCACCAGTCGAGCTTTTGAGTACGGCATTTTCACCTTGATTATTCTCAACACCGTTATTCTGGCCATGAAGGTTTGTGTATAGAATGATTCGTGTTTTGTTTGATATATCTCACAAAATTAGCTATGGATTAAAATTTAATAGATTTAAAGCCTTTGCCTGATGTTGCTATAAACAGTAGATGTGTGGAGGAGCCTTGATGTTCTAACCTTGTCTGTGTGTCTGTGTTTCAGTATGATGGACAGTCAGAAGCTTACTCAGATGCCCTGGATTACCTAAACATGATCTTCACTGGAGTCTTCACCATTGAGTTTATCCTGAAACTGATGGCATTTAGATTTAGGGTAAAACATCAGTGTTACCCCAATCTAGATATAGCTTTCTTTTCAAAAGTGCACTTTCTTAAGAATTTTACAATTGAGAAACATTTGAGACAGTTGCAGCTTAATTATTTGACATTTATGTTATTTTGTAGAACTATTTTGGAGACCCCTGGAATGTGTTTGATTTTATCATCGTCCTGGGCAGCTTTATAGATATTATCTACACGGAGGTCAATGTAAGTATTTTGCCCCTCCTCTGGGGGTTCTTCGAGGACCTGTCTCCTCATCTCCTCGTGACCTGCATCTGTGGTCTGATGACTGTGGTTTATGAGGATGAAATTCTTGTGACTTTTGCTTCCTCTTTTTGTCATGTGAGATTAACATGGCAGAGACTGCATCGTGAAAAGATTCTCTTTGTCAGTCTTAACTTTCTTTTTTCTGCTATTTCAGCTGACCTATTTTTTGATTGTATTTTCTCATGTAGTGGAAGTTTATACGATTCTCTGATATTTTTCTATTTTTAATAGTACGACCCATCTACATTAGGTTCTAGACCATTATCTTTTTTAAAAAAAAAAAACCATGTTTAGGATTTGAAACTTTAAAAAACATTGCACATTTCAGCGAGAAAAGGGAGATTTAAAGGTAATAATGTGATCTAAATGCACTGCTAAATGAGGCTGTTTTAATCTCTAGTTGACATGTGTTTTAGTATTTTTCACAACAATTTTTAGTGATTCAAGACATTTGTCTGGATCTGAGTAACCCAGCTTTTTAAAACAGACATGATTTTCCGTTTCCATATTAAACAAAAATTTTTTAAAATTTGGACGCATATTTCAAATTGTTTGAAATATCACCTTTATTTAATCTCTAAATTCAATTCTTCCCAAAGAAATCTCAAAGTCATGTCTGAAGAAACGTAACGGCAGACTAAATGAATGGTGCTACACAAATAAAACTGACTGCTTGTATGTCTAGCTGAGTTCTAGGGGGCTGATGATCAGTAGACAGCTTACGGCTTTCTCTAGATGTTGACTGTTAGTTATAACAGAATCTGAACTTTCTTACCTTTATGTAGAGGCTGTGCTTCATTACTACTGTCCTTGTGACAGATTTTCAAATTCTTACAAAATGTTCTTATAACTTTATTTTCAACCTTTACTTTTCTGATTATTTTTTAGTTTCTTTTCCTCATTGAATAATAATTGTTCCTATGTCTCTTTTGCTTCTTTTTGGACTAGTTTTGTTATTTATTTCTTTTTTCTCATTTATGAATCTTTAACTGTACTAATAATAAAACAAATTTATTAGAAATCAGCCAGGTCTTCTTAAAGAGACACACTGAAGTAAAAACAGGAAAACTTGAAGAAATGTTATTAAGGTGTCTAAATTAATGAATAGAAGTCATGTGCCACCAGTCAACAGAGATGATAGGATTGATGCATTTGATATAACCTTTGTATTTTGGGCACTTCCTTGCTTTATTACAGTGCAGCTGAATTTGTCGAAACTTAACTTTAAATATTTTTTTAAATATAACAAATATGACTATGGACCATCGTGTCTAAATTCATCTCGGGGGCTTCAAATTCACTAGATTCCCAGCAATTGTCTTGATTCACTAAAGACTGTAAGGGCTGAATCACTCTGATGTACAGTTGTACATGTAGCAATAAACAGATTAGATGCCATTAACAACAAAATCACTCTGACGTAGCAATGAACAGTTTAGATGCCATTAACAGCTCTCCGGCCATTATAGATAACAGATACAATGACCGACAGACATTAGATTCTGAAGCAGTGCCTGATTTATACATTAACATAGTATGATGTCAGTTTTGTCTGTCTTATTTCTCTGAAGCAGGCCGGATGTTAATTGTCTCCTCAATAGTTCACTGTGGATATTTCATTAATCCAATAGCTCTTTTTTAACTTGGTGTTTTGTTATTATTATAGAGATTTGTTTCTTTTTTTCAATCTGAGTGAAAATTTATTCATTATATAGTCACTGATCATTCATTTAACTTGCATCTGCTTATTGAAATTGAGTGAGATTTATACATACTGAATTTAGTGTCTAGAAATACATGAAAAAAAAGATACGATAAAATAAAACTCAACTAAATGATACATCTTTGTTCCAGAATTCATTACTTTATATACAACTTTCCCCTTTACTCTCATGTAACTGTCTGTCTGTGAGAAAGTTTTGTTGCAGTTTTCTCAGTAACTACTCATTGCATATGCGGGAAATTAAGCACACTTTATGTTTAGACATGTCATGTGGTGGGATTCATTTTTGTATGAATCCCTCATCAATTACCTGTTTATCCCTGTGTCTGACAGTAACTGAACTTGTGTATATTCACTTCAGGGTATTACTAGTGAGCATTGGCTCACAGACTTCTCATTTGAGTCTGAGATAGATATTGAAGTTTGTTTTGCCCTGAGTTGTAAGAAAATGACCACTGTTTTGATGGATAATAATCTTTGCATGGTGGAACATTTCACTTAGAATGCATGGACTGACTCGGACTGTAGTATTACATGACAAGGCACCACCAGTAGCTGTTTGTAATTTGTCTTTGGAAATTTCTCATGTTAACTTTCATAACATTATATTTTTTACAACATGTGATGGTAGTTTTTTTTCCATTTTGTGTGTGAATAGTCTGTTTGCACTGGTTGATGTGATATTAATACATTTCCATGAACCAGGCTGGATTAGGGTTGGACGGACAAGTCCAATAATTTTTAGCTCACCTCGACAAAGTCCATTCCTAGGTAACAATAAGCCCTACTTGGACCAAACTTTATTTCTTGGATGATGCATCTAGAAATGGACACTACCCAACCTACTTCAGATGCTGGATCTGACCTTTATTTTTCAAGTGTGTGAATTAGAGTCATAGCTGAATCAAACAAACATGGATGATGAAAGAAGGGATGGTCACTTCCAGACTTGCTTCAGATACTGAATTTGACATATAACTATAATTTCCAGATAGGTTTCCTGGGTGATGTTTGTGGAGTAGCTTTATAATTATATGGTCTATTACAATTCAACTTGCATGGATGATGCTTGAAAGGATGGACACTTTCATTCTTGCTTTGTATGTTGGAGATGACTGACATTGTTTTGAGAACAGGTTCAAGTTTTTGGAGCAAGTCCATCTCCAATTAACTACAAGTCCTACTTTAACCAAACTTGCATGAATATTGATTTTGGGATGCACAGTAACGAGAAAAAAAATATGATACGGTATTTGCCTTACCCATAGACAACATTTGTCGAGGTGAGCTTTGTAATCTTTGACCTATTTTTATATTCTTATGGCTAGGTGCAGTCGAAACAAATGGATTTCACTTATAACATTTTTGGATGATAAATAATTCATCAATATTTTGATTGACATTTCCATAAATTCTTCCTTCAGACTAAATAGTTATATGTTCAGTTGTATCTGGGTTTTTTTGTAAACCATAATATTGATGACTTGTCTATATACTTTTATCGAGTAGCATTCTAAATATTAGTCTGTTGAGGCAAATTTATATCAATTTTGAACACTTTATAGTGTAGAAAACAAACACTCTTAGACTACTTTCTTTTTATTTCTCTTCTATATTTCTACTCTCAATGTCTTGGTGATGAAAACTTGCATTATAAATATTTTCTTCATTTTCATTTGAACAAACACTGATTTATTTTGTATGTATTTGGAGTTTTCCATTGGGCTGCAGATATTATCATTCTTTAGTAGACTGCTTATATTTGACATGTTTAAGTTTGTGTGTCCAATTTTTTTCTATGCCAGATGCTGATTGTATTTTGTTACTAATTATGGGTTCACTTTGTAATTACAACAATCTAATAGCGAGCCAAGGTTGGTTGACTGTGCACTGAATGTTAGACTCCTATAGGTCTCTCTCTCCTAAAGCATGGCCTACAGAGACTGCTTAGCATGTCTTATCCCTCCTGCATGTCTAAATCCATTTTATTTCTTTTTTGCTAAAAGAAATGAAGCAAATTGCTTGACTTTGTGTTACATAGAGTTTCCTTCACTATTCTGAGGCTGAAATAGAGATATGTAGTGTTTATCCTTGAATATTAAACCTTTTGACTATTTTTTTTTAAGATCAAAGATTTCTAAGGAAAAAGAATTTATTAAGTAACTTAAGAGTTTTTATTTCTAATCTATATTAATGGTAAAGTTAAACGCTTAAATGAACAAGATACTGAGTACATGTGTACTCAGAAATGAAGACTGTATTTAGAAGTTGCTTGGGTAGAGCCCTGCTCAGTAATTAGCCTACAGTATCACCCCCAGCGCTGCCTCGCCTCTCCCCCTCCCTCCAGCTCTCTGCCCCATCTGGGACACCCTGTTACTCTGATAGACTCTATAGGGATGTGTTGTATATGTGCATGATAATGGTGGTCTAGACACACCCTCCCCCTGTATAAATAGGTCAGTGTTACGTCAGTATATACCCTCAATGTGTAGTAATATGTCAACTGTTTGTTATGTATATACATGTAGTACATTGTTAACGGAATTGATTTCAAGCAAGACGAGGATCTGGATGTAAGATATTCCATATGTATGTCAGAAAATATCCTATAGTGGAAATAGTGTAGATCATTACAATATGTAAACTATATATTGGAGACAATATCTGTTTTTGGTAAAACACATTTTTGAAATAATGTACATGTACGTGATAAGAATCACACACACAGCTATATGCATGTAAACATATACTCCATATACTTTGAATGATTCAGAATTTAAAAAATTATATCTGATATTTTTACACAAGTAATTAAAAGAGTTATATCTTCATTGTTTCTTAAAGACGGTTTTACTTAAGTTTGAAATGGTTTTTTTATCATATGTGTTGTCGTGAAGTGATTTGCTTTTATTTGACAGCTAACCGGGGACAGGAAGGTTTTTTTCACTCGTGTTTTTACATGTTTTCACTTGTATCAGCAATTTTTTAGGCATACACAATTAAAATTGTTAGTCTGTAAATTTATTTTCTGGGATGTAGATTAATGCACCCAGTTGTTTTATTTCAATATTTGCAAGCCTTTATATTTGCTAGTGTGTATTGCCTCGGGCAGTGTCATGTTGATGAGATCCTGTACATATTGAACACCTCTACATATATACCCCTCTTTTCTCTTACAGCCCGGGCAAGGCATAATCAGCATTAACTTTTTCCGTCTATTCCGAGTGATGAGATTGGTCAAACTTCTGAGTCGAGGCGAGGGAATACGAACTCTTCTTTGGACATTTATCAAGTCCTTTCAAGTAAGTACTGTACAGTAGATTCCTAATTTTAGGTGAGTACTTGATATTGCTAGATGATTTGTGGGCGTCAGATTGCGAGAACATGTAATGGCAAATGGACTGTTGATTTCAAGTATTTACTTGTAATTCAGCCATGTAAAAACAAAAGAGAAAAAGTTAATTTTAATTGCTTCTCACCATTTTAAACAATGGCACCATATTAATTAAACAATAGTGAATGTTACGGAATCTATTATACATGTAACAGTTTTTATTAACATTGTACACACTTCTGGATGTCAATGAGAGTTTTTTTTAAAAAAATGTGCAGTCCTCAATTGACTTGAAACAATATGTAAATGATGTGTCTGTATCTTTTATAAATATTTTTATATAAAGAAATTCTTATCATGTTACAACAATTTACCATTGCTGTTCACTTTTTCAGGCACTTCCCTATGTTGCTCTGCTCATCGTCATGCTGTTTTTCATCTATGCCGTTATTGGAATGCAGGTAAAGCGCTGAACCCTGTTCTTACCATTGTTCTACTATAAGATAGCTTTATCAAATCTTCATTACTTAATATGACTTTGTCACAGTTTGAAATCATTTTAAGTGATTAATTCCAATCATTGCTATCTTTGACAGTTGTTTGGTAAAATCTCTACAGACGTGGAGGACTCTCAGATCCACAGGAACAATAATTTCCAGACATTTCCTCAAGCAGTATTAGTTCTCTTCAGGTAAAGTACACTATGGATATTTCTACAGTAAAACTTGTCTTCTCTGGACATTGTGTAATCCAAAGTCTTGCTTAATATGATGATAACTTTTCAGTCCATTTTTATAATAAATGTATATTAAAGCTTCACCATCAGATATCTCTATAGTTTAAGACATCTTTATATGTAAAAAAAAAAAAAAAAATCTTGTTTAATCCAGCACCATTGGTTTAAAAGAAATTGACCAGACTTGAAAATATTCAAGATTAAGACAACATTCGTTAAAAATAAATGAATTTACTATGTATGAGACAAAGTTTGCACTGTATAAGGCAAGATTTCGATTTACAAACCATCTTGGAATTGACAAGATCCATATACTTTTATAAAACAATAATGTTTAAAAAAAGAACAATAAATGTATTGCGTTTTCTAAAATTATCACTGAAGCCTGTTGTAAAGGTTCTCATGAAGATATTCTTAGACTGACAGTAAGACAGGGGGGCATTTCTGTTACAGGTCGGCTACAGGAGAGGCGTGGCAGGACATCATGTTATCCTGTGTGGGGGGTCAGGACTGTGACGCTATGTCTGACGCCAAGCCAGACGAGAAATGTGGAAACGGCGTGGCCTACTTCTACTTCATCTCCTTCTACATGTTGTGTTCATTCTTGGTGAGTGGAACAGAGAGGAGAGGAGGGGGGTTAGCATGGGGAGAGGCGGGATTAGCATGGGGAGATGGGGCGTTAGCATGGAGAGAGGGGTTAGCATGGGGAGATGGGGGGGGTAGCATGGGGAGAAGGGGCATTAACTAGTACAATTTTGGATAAAGTAAAACCTGGTATATGCCTTAATTCTTAAAAGTGAATATAGATTGATGTCATTATTTTCAGATTATTAACTTGTTTGTGGCTGTCATTATGGATAACTTTGACTATCTGACTCGTGATTGGTCGATTCTGGGGCCGCATCATCTGGACGAGTTTGTCAGGCTGTGGTCAGAGTACGATCCAGAGGCAAAGTAAGTCAACTGTAGTCTGAAGTGTCAGGTTATTTCTCACATTAAAAAAATATCCGAGTATATATATTTATTTAAAACATTGTAAAAATGATCAGTCTGTTCAAATGCTTCAAAAATTCATATGATGTGATTGTATTTCCCAGAGGAAGAATAAAGCATTTAGATGTTGTCCAGCTGCTCAGAAAGATATCACCCCCTTTGGGATTTGGGAAGCTTTGTCCTCACAGAGTTGCCTGTAAGGTAAGCATATCCTTATTTTTTAAGGTAGCCCTTCAGTAGCAATACTGAAAATAAGTATCATGCCCCTTATTTTTCACAAACATGCTACATGCATCTTTTTGAAAAAAAAATCACTGTAAATGTATTACATTTGGCTATGTATTCTTTTTAGCACTTTTGGCGGAAAGAAACTTCGGCTAATTCAAGTACCTTAACACTAAATGTCTTGCACATATATACATAATAGAGAATATTGGGAACTGCACTTATTCAAATCTATTTTAACATATTCAAAAGTCAATTTCTGCTAAATATTGTACACACGAAATATAATACATATACATTATTTTAGGTGAGAAATACTGAACCCTAGTGTGCAAACATTGTCAATTTAAATTCTATGAAATCATATCACACCCTCTTTGTATTTCCAGCGTCTTGTCAGTATGAACATGCCCCTGAACAGTGACGGAACCGTGATGTTTAATGCCACGCTGTTTGCCTTGGTGCGAACGTCTCTAAAGATCAAAACGGAAGGAAACATTGACGAGGCTAACGAGGATCTACGTAGAGTCATCAAAACAATCTGGAAACGAACCAGTCCTAAACTTCTGGACCAAGTAGTCCCCCCTGCTGGTAGTGAGTTTTATATTTTGTTTGTTGTGACACTAGAGCACCAGATCACCACTTTCCTGTCGGTAGTGTGTCTGTAAGGAGGTCCACGGGAGCTCTCTCCTGAATGGTTTGATGTTGAGTTCTCCGTAGGAGAGATCATGCATGTTTGTTCAGTTCTAGCTGTTTTTGATTTACAGAGGAAGAAAATTACTTTATTCTGGAATAAACTCTTTTTGGAAATATTCTGTATTTGAAGGCTCTTGTATGATTTTTTCTTCTCTGTGGAAGAAATTATAAACAGGTGTAGTACCAATAATTATACTGAACAATTTAGAATATTTTGGATATCAAAATTTAGCCAATTTTATTTGGTGTGACGTCCTCTGTGTAGAGATTATTTTATGTAGTACTGTTTTTCTCGGACACAATTCTTCACCATTTCCTTAATTTACAGTAGGTTTCCTGAGTGACTTGATGTAGTATCATTTTTGAGATTGGAGTAAAAAAGTAGATTTTTGTGATTTCTCATTTATGATGGGGTATTATTTATTCAGAAATAGTCTACTGTAGATCACTTAATTTTCGTGACACCTTATTTTTACGAGCTAGTCATTGTCTCTTTTATAGCGAGACAAAATTTTCACGAATTGTGGTCACTGCTCTATATAATCTTACGGAATTCTATTATACGCGAGAATGAAATTTTCGCGAACATACCCTGTCGCGTAATTACGCGAAAATAAAGTTCTCGCGAATAAAAAGTGATTTACAGTATTTATAAAATAAGAATTCTACTTTTCACTATATCTGTATATATCCTTTAATTCAGCTGTTTTCTGTGAATAGAAAATCTTATGGATTTACACAAAAAAACCTAGCTTTATTAAGAGATAAGACATCCCATGTCAAACTCTTGACAGGTTCTCCTGATCTATATACACACGTGTTGATAAGTTAATGAGATGATTTTATGTACAGTGAAACTTGTCTAATCCAAACAGCACTGAATCCTCAAAAATTGACTATAAAAAAAATAGATTAGACATCATTAAAACCAACTGAAATGACTAAAAGGGACTGAAAGTTTACATAGTATTAGACAAGATTTCGTAATACACAACATCCAGATGAGACAAGTTTGACTTTATGTATAGAGCATATCAGAGGTTTCTTAATGGGTCGGTTATTTTGTCATTGCAGGAGAAGATGACGTGACAGTGGGAAAATTCTATGCAACCTTTTTGATTCAAGACTACTTCAGGCGATTCAAAAAACGAAAGGAGCAGATGAAAAAGATAGAGAAGGGGCAGGAGCACACAAATGCTCTACAAGTAAGACAAAGGATGAAACTGCCGGGCAAATTACTTATAAGACATGCTCGTTAATTGTTGGTTGCAGCTACTTAAATGTTACAAACTGTGCTTGTGTAGCTAATTCAGGGACAGCTGTTACTTTTAATATGTGTTGCTCTTACACACTGTTCATTGTGAGTGACATTTTGAAATTCATTACCTCATATTTTGACCTTCATGACCTAGGTTTTGGTAGATCTCAATAAATTTCCTATTAATTTGCTCTGTTGTACAGGCTGGGTTGCGAGCTGTACATGACCTGGGACCAGAAATTCGCCGTGCAATATCAGGAAACTTAGACGAGGAGGACTTCGCTGAAAAGGATGTCGAGGAACCTATGCACAGGGTTTGTAATGGAGAAATATGTGTTGTTTTGTGTATAATTCTTGTAAATTAAATCAGTATTCTATTGTTCCTCTGAAGCTGTGTTAGAGGGAGAACATTGTGTCAGTCTGTTGTGTAATTACAGAGAATCCACAGCTTGTTTGGCAATGTTATCAAAGCTGTGACCGGCGCACACAAGACTGGGCAGGGAAAACAAAACCAATCCCAAAAGTCGGCCCCCTCCGTGTAGTCCTTCCTGCCCCCTCCACCCCCCACTTCTTGTCTCATACCTGTCTTTACTAATCTCCTGATTACATTCTTTCCTTCTAACAGCGGAACCACAAACTGTTTGGATTTGGCAGTGTCATGACAGCCCTCGCAGGAGTCCATAAAACTGCCATCCCTTTTGCCAGTCGGACACAGTCACTTCTGATCAATCAAACACCCAAAATCTCCTCCCACACCAACCTCTCACCGCAAAACTCACTCAACGGAAAAGTGACCCCAGCAGACAGCTGTAACCATCTGAGTGTGGAACAGCGCAATGCCATCAACCGAACTCCCTCCCCCCTAGCTCCTGTTCGCGTCTCACCAATGATGAGCAATGATTCCCGTCGTCAAAGCCATACCAGGTAATGTTTGGTTTGAAGTAAAAGTGTAGTTAATGGTTAAACTGTTGAATTAATGGCAGTATATTGAAAGTTTAGATCTGTCAGTCATCTGAAACTGAAAAAGGTCAAATAAAGCACTTTTCATTAACTAGCATTTATGTTGAAAAGCAAAATTTACTATTTATGAATTTATCTTTCAGTGGAATTTCATCGTCTGAATCCCACCGTGACTTAGTCCCCAGGAGCCCCATCAGCCACGACGCTGTCCCCCCTAGGAGCCCCATCAGCCACGACACTGTCCCCCCTAGGAGCCCCATCAGCCACGACACTGTCCCCCCTAGGAGCCCAATAAGCCAGGACGGCTCCGAATCTGAGGTCCCTCAGTGGGACAAGTATAAGCCTCAGGATGTCACCAAGAAACAGGGCATCTACGTCTACAGAGAGTAAGTAAACAGGGCATCTACGCGGTGTCATTTTTGTCCTTTCACACTTGCAGATAATTTTGCACTGTTTTAAATTCGCCCAATCATAGTTTTATGTAAGAAATTATACTGAAATCTTTGAATTGGCCCCATTTTAAATTCTCCCAAATGGGTAGGGCGAAATGGGCAAAAATAAAATGGGGGCAAAAATTTCCCTGTATACAGTATGTCCATAGAGAAAAAGTAAAGCAAACATCTATGTCTATTGAGAATAAGTCTGATTTTAACCTTTATTTTTAGTCTGCCACAAGAGGACAGTGATTATGAGCGAGAGGATAATGCCCCTCCTACTCCTCCCCCAAGGAAGTTAAGTCGTCGGGGAGCATCACTACGTTTGGCCTGCATAGGGAAACAACAGAGTGATGAAAATCCTCTCATGAAGAAGATCGCAGAACCATTAAAGCTTGCTCAAACTCAGGTAACATGGATGACTATTGTGTAGAGCATACTGTAGAAGTACATTTTTCCGCGTGGTATTAATTTACGGTATGTACGCAGTCACAAATTTTCCGCGGAAATTTGTCCAAGCGTACTTAATATAAATGTAAGGCATATATTGATAGTCTAGAAAATCCGCGTAATTTTTTACCCGTGAATTAAACAGAAATTGAGATTCTGCAGAATTATGACCCCGTTGAAAAAAGTATGTTTACAGTATCTCAGGCAAAAGAAACTTTGCTGAATGTCCTCTTTTTATCTTTACCTCTGTTTGTTTGTCTGAGAGGACAGATCATCAGAACTTTCTCTCTTTAAAACTTCCTGAATGCATCACATTGAGATGCAATGCCCAATTCAGAGTTCAAAGTCACATAAATATCCACCTAGTTTACAGTTGTTTTCATTTAAAATAATGATTTACTTGAATTTATATTTTATCTTGATCTTGATTTAAAACAGAGCTTCATAAAAACATACTTATTTGTGTGGTTTGTTACGTTGTAAATACTTTATTTTGTTTGATGCGGCATATTGTAAGTAATGACTTTGCTTATTTAGGCCATGGCAGTGGCAGGACTGACCAGTGATGGTCGACAGCGGCCAAACGATTATTCTAAATTAGGGCTTCCAGAAAACAGAGCTTCCTTCCAAAACCAAGGTACTAAATTATATTATTTTAATCAGAAATTTTCTCTGATGGACTAGAATGGCTGAATGTAAAGATCTTTTTAATTAAATCACAACTTTGTTTAAACATAATTATTAGGTGGATCTTGCAACTTTATTAGCTCTACTGGTCAGAGACCAGAAGAGCTTATGCGATAGTAATGTACAGTTTTGGTCTGATTTCAATATAACTTAGCCCACAAGTAGACTACACTAAGATACATAATTCTGTGCATCAATTTTTGATTTCGATGAACGGTGTTGCCGTGGTTACTAAAAATAGAAATTTCTGTGAAATTCTTTCAAAATGCTACTCCTCCTACAGTTTTGGTCCGATTTCAATATAACTTGGCACACAAGTAGACTACACTAAGATACATGATACTATGCATTGCTTTTTGATTTCGATGAATGGTGTTGCCATTGTTTCTCAAAATAGAAATATCTGTGAAATTCTTTCAAAATGCTACTCCTCCTACAGTTTTGGTCCGATTTCAATATAACTTGGCACACAAGTAGACTACACTAAGATACATAATACTATGCATCGGTTTTTGATTTCGATGAATGGTGTTGCCATGGTTACTAAAAATAGAAATATCTGTGAAATTCTTTCAAAATGCTACTCCTCTTACAATTTTAGTCCGATTTCAATATAACTTGGCACAAGTAGACTACACTAAGATATATAATTATTCTGTATATCGGTTTTTGATTTCGATGAATGGTGTTGCCATGGTTACTAAAAATAGAAATTTTTGTGAAAATCTTTCAAAATGCTACTCCTTCTACAGTTTTAGTCCCGATTTCAATATAACTTGGCACACAAGTAGACTATACTAAGATACTTAATTCTATGCATTGGTTTTTATTTTGATGAGTGGCAAGGATTATTTTTCTATTTATTGCTGTTTTAAAGTTTCAAGTCCCAACTGCGACTTTTCTCTTCCTTTGTTTTATTAAGTATAAACCAGTAGAGCTACAGTCTCGACAGAGACTTCTGTTTTTTTTTTTCCTGTTGATATATTGAATTTTAGTCAGATTTGTTTTAAATTTATGCTCTAAAGCTCAAAATGTCCATCATTTCATGATAGATTTGTGTGCTAATATTTTATAAATGTATTTGTCATTGAAACCCAACCACTACTGTGTGTTGTTCAAACCTCATTTCTGCTTTGTAAATTGGAATTTTACCCTGTGCTGGTTGATAATGAATTACACAACATAAATATCTGCTTTGTTTGACTAACTTTGTGCAGAGAAAGCTTGGAAATGTCTTCACAATAACATATATTCAGAATTATTTTAGACTGGACACTACATGGTCTGTTGCGTCTAAAAGTTTCAATTGCAAACAACAGAATTGTAATCATATGGAAGTTTATCTTATTCTGTTTAAAAATGCCAGGTGGAATTAATAGCATGCTTGCTTATAAAATTTTAATGAGGTGTCCTTTGTGATTTAGCCCAGACGTCATGTGTTATATGTTTCAAAGTGCTACATGCTGTATCATAAATGTTTGAGGCATTATGTACTGTGAAATCACTATTCTGTGGGTTTGATTTTCACTGTTTTTGCAGCATGAAGAGATGAATTCATCTCTTCCAGTAATGTATTTTCATGAAATCAATCCCCACAAGCAAAGAAAAGTGTTATTTGGGTCTGGGTTGTTTTATTAACATTCACTCTCTGTAAGGCTTAATGTTATAATGACTGTCCCAGCATGTGTGACTGTGTATGTCCACTAACCATGCATGTCTACCACCAATTTCAGCACATTCCACATTCTCACGTTCAAACTCCCTCATTGAAGGACGCAACATGTCACCGAGGCAGAATCTACATAGAGGCTCTGACACCATGGCCATTCAGGACTCCTCGGGCATGTACTCCCGTACCAAAGAGGCGGGGCCTCTCATCATACCGAACTATGTGATGGCCAATCAGAAATATCGACACGGCAGTCACAATAAATCCAGTGCTGAAAGCTTGGTAGAAAAGGTACTTTATAAATTCTACATGCAAAGATGTATCTAAAAGTAAATATTATATCACTAATGTATTGGTTAAGATAAATATAGCCCCTGACCAATTTTTATTTTCATATGGTAAAGAAAAAAGGTTTTCCCTTCATTAAGGACCCATATTGTTTGAAGTATTGTTTTACAGTGTGGTAATCTTTTATTTCCAGATTAAAATAGAATGACTTAATTTTATCTTATGCAGGACAATTTCATCAATGAACATCCACAAATAACACCTATTTTTCAGGTGCTGACCGAGGAGGGCTTAGATCGCTATGTAGATGCTCACACGTTACAACAAGAAATTGCAGAGGCCAATGATATGACAGCGGACGACATGAACATGGCAGCAAGAATGTTACTTCACCCACCAGATGAGAATCACACGGGGGCGCTCCACCCTGGCCAGAGAAGCCCCTACTATGAACATCTCGGGGGGTTCCTGGTGCAGGAGATGAAGGACTATAACTGTTACTCCACCAACGATGACCTGAATCACAAGAGCTACAGTCCCAGCTCAGAGGAAACCAGTGACGATGAAATGGTATTTGTCACCACTTTATGATCCCTCTGTCCTTGCATGGAGATCTGTCTCTGGCGCTGTCTTTTTATAGAGAATGCTACTGAGCAGCCAGGGTTGGCCCAATCAAGTCTGAACACTCTTAAAGTCAAAAACTTAAAATCTGCCATCAACCTACCCTGCTTATCTGGCCTGTTGTGGATGTCAGGGCCATACAGGACCAAGTTCATTGGTTAGATTCCTTGATTGGGCGGGTCTGATGAGAGTAGGACTTTGATTGACAGCTCTGGTCCCATTGGGAGTGGGAATTAACGCTTGTCTTCCATACTCATCATTATACTGGCCAAATAAGCTCGACTTTGGGGATTCTCATCTTGGGTGAGCCTGTAAAAAGAGTAACCTTGATCATTCCGAGTACAGCAATTACCAGTCAGAAAGATGAGCATCTGTAAACTCGAGTTTGTCTGGCTCGTTATTGCCGAGGTTAAATGTACATTGTAATCAATCATAGAACCAGTAGAAAACCTTAATATGAAGGTCATATTTATCAATACTCATCAGTTCTTCTTTGTATTTTGAAGCCACATTTTGCATGTTGTGAAAATTGCTAGTTTTTTTCCTGTATATAGAGTCTTATGCTTTTCTTCCAACGGTTCAAATTTTTTGGCGTGTACCATTTTATTGCCATAGGTGTATATATTCATAGAGCTTGAACTAACCTGAACTCTACCATTTAAAACTTTAAAAGCAGTACAGGTTGTATGTTATCTATGTGCCTGCTTTTCCGTATACATGTATTGCGGTTGGTGGCGGTGATTGTTAAAAACTGTCTAATTATTCACCAGAGATGGACTTGAAGTGGAATTTTACCTTTTAATTTTTGTGCAGAAGACGAGTCAACATGAAAAACAGGACTAAGATTCCTCTGGAGGATGTGGCAATCCAGTGAACCATAACTTAGTGTGACTGACAGAATGAATTAATTGTTCTCGGTGCAATAAAACTCACTTAAAATCAAACCAGCTGGCTCTGGTTTGCAATGTTGCTTGATGCAACCTTTTGTTTCTTTCATACACTGAATATATGTAAATATTTATTAATGTACATGTATATAAAATGTACATTGATTGCGTTTGATGTAGTTTTATGAATAATTGTTAGGTTTGAATATCTGCATGCAGATCTGTGTAACAGAATTCAATGAATTAATAATCAAAGTTTGTGCAATAAGAATTCAAATCAATTTATTTGAAATTCCTATTAATACTTTGTATGGAAACATGTAGATAATGAGATTAGATAGGAAAAATTAACTTAAAACGACAAGAAATATTTATAATACTACCATAAACTGAATTCATGATCTGATCAAAGTTGTGCCATTTGTGTGTATATGTGAGACCTTATAACAGAAACCATTGAGATGACACCTGTAATTTATATAACCCGCTCCCTGAGAATGCTGACTTGTGCATGTATTGAATTATTGTTGACTGATGAACTATAAAGCATGGACACTGAGACTGTATGTTATGTCTTCACAATTCGCTGTTACGTATTTTAGTTAAGGTTAAATAATGTAAATATCATTTTTTACAATTATAAATAATATTAATATATGGCAAATATATGTGAATATATTTATGTGGGTAAATGTTTTTGACATGCTTTGGAAGAAATTCTGAAAATTGTTTGGTAACGAAGGATTATTTGCCGTATTTTCAGAAGTTCCGTTTGACTAGACATGCTCACAGTTTTAGATATTGACCTTTGACCTTCAGCCAGTAAAAAAACCTTGATCCTCCCCAGCTGTGATATTCCTTTGTGTGTGGAGAGACTGTGATGTTACCATAGAAACCAAGCTCCAGACCAAACATTGACCTGAATGAGAGGAACGGAGAACTTCTGAATGAAGAATCACATCGCGTGTGTGTACGGATTCATTCTTTTATATCATACTTCACACTGAATTTCTTCAGGCATCATGTTTGTTTTCCAAAAGTTCCATATCATAATTTTGTATGAAGTCTCAGTGCATAATGAACCCTCGATTTTTTGGGTGTATACGCAGTTGATACATGGGACACACGAAATATCTGCGTGTGCATGTGTGTATGTAGATATAATTGTTCATCAGTCGTGATCGTTTTGATATACCTCTCGTGTCTGTAGGAACGTGACCTACAGATGGAGAATCCACTTGTCTCTGGCATGGACAGACAGAAATCATACCCTCTAGTCTTACATGGGCCTGATCATGTTATTTATATTAATCAGAGTCCTAATTTACATTGTTATTTACTTCATTGTCTAATCGGTCACCAAAGTTGTTGTGTATAGGCAGATAAGTTCTTAATATATATAATGATCTACTGATATATAATTGTCAAGTATTTATATTGATGTTGAAGATATTTTATCAAATCAGTATACAGGAATCCGACTCTTAGCATTGTTTTTTGTGTTTTTTTTATAATTTAACAACAGAGAGCATTATGGGACATGAATTTTATCTTATAATACTTAAAACTGTTATGTATTTTGTGAACATTTTTATTGTGATGTTCAACAGTTTTTCATTTTGTTCTGACATTTTCCTTTATGTGTGTTTAGTATCATTGAACATTTGACAGACTCCAGTTAATTATGAGCTTGTTT